AAAATATTAGAAATAAATTATTTGAAAAAAATTATTGTTAGATAATGTTGATTAATAAATATTGCTATTACTTTACAAAAATATATATAAATTAATGAAATAATTATTTGTTTTTATTCATTTGTTTCGAAATATATTATCATATAATACATTCTAAATATTCTATATCTTGATGAAATTCATTAACATAAATTAATTAAATTTATTTATTTGTGATCATTTGTGGCGAAATATTTTACCATATAATAACATTATAAATATTCTATATCTCGAAAAATTCATTGATCTCTTAATTATAAATAATACTATGATGTAATAAAAATATCAATTTTCATTAAATTGTATCAAATATCGCAAATATTTATGTTAATATAATTATTATAATTAAATATTTACATGTCTAAATATAATTAATTATTTTTAAATAATAAATTATTAAATATTTTTATGTTATTTTTTTATCATTATTCTTTATCAGTTTTTTTAAATAGATATAAAATAGATAAAAATACATGTAAAAATATTCTTTTCTTAAAAATTGTAAACATAAAAAAAATTTTCCTTAATTATGAATTTAAATCACGCTGATTGAACAGAACGTATGATGGAATAATGAATTAAAATAGGGCGTAAGATTCGTGTAACTCTTCAGTCCACTGTGTTCCTGGTATATCGGTAGAGCGCCGCAGCGCCACGCGTCACGGCGAGCATCACCGCAACGCACGGCGCCTACACGCCGATCATCGCGACGCGGATGCGCCATTCCGTCGCCGCACAAATATATACTATACATATGCTTCTTTTGCTCTTCGACCAGTCTTGCCATTCTCGGATTATGTATTGCTATGCCGGGTTGCGCCAAGTGGCTCCATTCTGGATCTCTATAGTCATTTTCTGGTCTACATATAATATACGTTATAAGTTTTATCACATATAAAATATAGAATAGTGCAATGCTTCTTTTGTTATGAATATTTGGAACTCACGTGATCTCTTTATCATTTCTATATCACATGCGACATTATCGGTTCAGTAGAACATGATAGTAGCGCCAATAGTAGTTGAAATTAAAATAAAATTTCACGAAATTATAAGATTTAATTTATGATTGTAAATTAAAGAATAGAATTTTCTTTTTAAATTCGTTTTAAATCTATCCTTATATATATAACATATAATATACTTACATATACTTAATGCTTATATATATAGATTATTATGAAGTAATTTTGAATACATTAATTATGCTTTTAATTTTTATTTTTTAATATTAATTTAATGAACATAAATTTTTTTTCTTATTAAAATATTAAAAAAAATTTTTTTAGATTCATAAATAATTATTTTTAAATTCAAAAATTAAAAATAAATTATTTTATAATAATTTTTAAATAAAATATTGTTAAAAAATATAAAAAAATATTTTTTCTGTCTCGATATTTCAAAGATGTTGATAATAAAATTCAAGAATTTTTATTTATTCAATTTTATTTATTTTAATTTTTCTTATGTTAATGTCAAACAAGAACATGTTTGCTTAAATATTTTTTGAAGATTAAAATATTAAAATATTTTTTATTGTTTTTCATATAATTTCAATATAAATATTACTTACAATATTTATATATATATATTTATTATTCATATTTATTTCTATTGTCATACTAATTAAAATTCATTTTTTTTTATTATATTAAAGGAAATCTATGGAATATTTCTTTGTCGAAATATTTTTAGATTAATATAAGGAAATAGGAAAATCAAATCAATAGGAAATGAAAAATTATTAGGATTTCAAAAGAAATTTAAATAATAAAAGTAATATTCGTTTTTACAGAAATTTAAAATGGCAAATAATAATAAGATTAAATAGTATATAAATAAATTTTACAAAATCGAAGTATTGATGAATATTAACCACATAAAAAAAACTTTTGAATTAAATACAAAATTAATAGAAATTTTACAATAGATATTTATTGAATAGATAATATTTATTATTTATCAGAATTCTATAACATAATAATAAATATTCATATTTGAAAATTATTTAATTTCTATTTATGAATTTGATTTTTTTGAATCGATTATTTAAAGAACTATTTATTTGAACAAATTTATTTCTTAATTGATTCTAATTACGAACATTGTTAACGAACATTATTTTATTAAATTATGAATTTTAAGGATAATTATCATTCAAGTAATTCTGAATAAAAATATATTAAAATTATTAATTTGCAATATATTGTTTGTAAACAATATTCTATATATATCTAGAAAACTTAGTATTGCTGCCAATTTTATTTATATCAATTGCATTTAATGAAAATGGGACATAAACATAAAAATAATTCATTTGAAACTCGAAAACTTATTATTTACATTTTATTTATACTTATCAAAATCATGTCAAGGTTTCTCTTTGCCAAATTTTTGATATACAATGACTCATGCTTTTAAAATAAATATCATTATTACTGTTTGTTGTTTATTGTTTATTTATTATTTGTCTATGTTTATTTTATATTTTTTATTTGTCTATTGTTTATTTTATATTTTTTTATACACAAGCTTTAGTAGATCAAAGTTTATGATATAGTAAATTTAAGTTAAAAATTTAGATGATTGACAATAAAATAATTTTTGTCGTTCTTTCAATTTAATTTTAATTTATTAAATTGCTGATTCCATGAATAAATAAAATCTAATAAAAGGCCCATTAATCATTGGATTCTTGAGTATCTAGAAAAAACATTGCAGTCTTTACTATCTGGCAGACACTATGTATATA